ACAAAGGAGCTCCCATAAGGCTGTCAACTGATTTCTCATCAGAAACACTATAGGACAGAAGAGAATGGCATGAAGTATTCAAGGTAATGAAAAGCAAGAATCTGAAACCAAGACTACTCTATCCAGCAAGGCTATCATTCAAAATAGATGGTGAAATAAAGAGCTACACACACACACCCCAAAAAAAGGCTAAAGGAGTTTATCACCCCTAAACCATCATTACAGGAAATGTTAAAGGAACTTCTATAATTAGAAGTAGAAATAGAGAGAGAGAGAAACATAGGTATAAAGAATTAAAAGGGCAATAGATAAGTGCCTATCAATAATAACCTTAAACATAAATGGATTAAATGCTCCAATCAAAAGACATAGGGTAGCTGAATGGATAAGAAAACAAAACCCAAATATATGCTGTCTACAAGAGACCCACCTCAGAACCAAAGACTCACACAGCCTGCAAAAAAACTTCTGGAGGACTTCAAGGGAGAGACAGACAGCAACACAGTCAGAGTAGGGACCTTTAACACCCCACTGACTTTACTGGATAGATCTTCCAGATAAAAAATCAACAAGGAAACAGTGACTCTAAATGACACACTAGATCAGATGGACTTAACTGACATTTACACAACATTTCACCCCAAAGTTGCAGAATATACATTCTCCTGAAGTGCACATGGGACATTCTCAAAGACAGACCACATGTCAGGACACAAAACAAGTCTCTACAAGTTCAAGAAGATTGAAATCATATCAAGCATCTTCTTGGACATTTACCCCATGGACTACTATGCAGCTGTAAAAAAGAAGGATCTCTTACCCTTTGAGACAGCATGGTGGGACCTGGAGAGTTTTATGCTAATTGAAATAAGCCAGTCAGAGAAAGACAAGTATCACATGGTCTCACTCAATTATGGAATCTAATGAACAAAATATATCCAGGGACATAGAAGCATGAAATAGACTCACGAATCTCAGAGGGAAGGCAGCTATGGGGGAGTAGGTGGGGAGAGGTTAACCTAAGAACTTACATGTATATGTGCACAACCCATGGACACAGACAACAGTGTGGTGAAGGCCTGGGGGAGGGGTATGGGGGAGGGGGTTAGTTGGAGGGGTAGGGGGACATCTGTAATACTTTCAGCAATAAAGATAATTAAAACATTTAAAAAAAGAGTTTCCATGTGGCTATAGTTAGAATTTTACTTCCTGGTCATGTGAAGTACAAATCACCCAGTGAAGTACCTTTGTCTTTTCTCATCCCACCCACCTCAATTCTCAAGAGGAAACACTGACTAAGTGAAAATAAATAAATAAAGGAGGGCTGGACTGCAGAGCAAGTAAGGGGCTGACAAGATGGAATATGCTTGTTGAATAAAGGGGCACCTGTTTTGACAGTAACAAGCAGAGCTAGATCAGGAAAAGGAATATGGAACAAAGCGCTTAAAAGCAGAATTTCAGGAAAGACATGCAAAAGAAAATATGCTCATTGCAAGAATAAAATTCTTCACTCACAGAAACTAAAATTGCATTTATCTTTACTGAAGTAAGTGCTCTATTTAAACATATGAAGGCACTTAAATTAGTCTAATCAGATTATAGGTACTTTATTTATATCAAAATAAGATCAGGCTCTTAAGAAGATTTGCTTTTGACTAGAGAGTAGATGTCAGGCATTTCATTTTCTCGTACAAACTACTGCTACTAAAAGGTAAGGCCACTGTGTAAGGCCAATTTTAAAGTCTGCTTCAGAGTTTTAGGGATGAAGACCTTTCTGACTGTGCTTAATTAACAAACTAAAATTGTAATCCAGGACATGTCTACAGGAGACAAGAAGCAAATCTCATAGAGAAAATTACTAAGAGAGTAAACTGTTCTAGACTGCTTCAAACAGAGGGTCCTAATGAGTACTAGGATGTAGAGAAAGACTGGACAAATATTAATATGTTACGTGCTGTTCTACAGCTTCAAACCCTGATCTCAAGACTGTTTTTCTCACCCTGATGGAAACAGGACAGAGTGCTGTGCAAGTTAAAAAAAAAAAAAAAAAAAAAAAAAAAAAACC